AATACTCTCTCTGGGTAGAGAGAAACCTGAGCTTCATTGAAAACAGAAGACTACAATACAGCCTAAGACGACAATATTTTAGCTCCTGTTTACAAACAACACAAACCACAATGCCTTTAACTCTCACAGGAATCATTCTTCTTAATAAAAATAAAGCCAGCAAAGAATCAGCTGCTTATTCACACATCATAAAGACAGTTTTAAAACAAGGCAGAAAAAAACATGTAAGAAAAAATTAATTACCTATAAACTACAAAATATTTAAAGCATTATTTAATATCGTATGCATACACAATATTTGTAAACTCACATGCTCATAAGCACAAAAATAATTTACCAGAACTGTCCTATTATGTTTGTGTTCATCAATGTATTACAAAGAGATATAAAAAGAAGACGACACCTATTCCTTTGCATCATTCCCCAAAATTTAGAAATGTCATCACCACAGATGACACAAGAACCACAGAAATATAAAGAAATAGGACAAATGCCTCACAGAAATGCCACCCAGTACCTTACATTTGAAATCAGCAACTGCCAATCACCTCTAATTAGACTTCAACAAATTACATTAAAATATTTTTTTTCCCTAAAGAAAATATGAAACCAGCAGCAAAAATTCACTTACAAAAAAAAAATTCCAGAAGAATAACATCTTCATGCAAGGGGCTTTGATTCTATTCACAGAGCTTTTGCATATTTGGTATTTGTTAATCATAAAATAAAATGCTTGATTTTTTTAAGTAGTCATTTAGAATAACGTTAGAATTGAAAGTCACCATCCTTGTAATAATGCAGGATATTTTCCTCACCAAACAAACCCACTACCACACATATTTTAGAGTCTTTTCATTAATACTTTTAATTATAGAAACCAAAACCATACAATATTCACATTTAAAATCCAAGATAGTTTACAGGGCAAAGCAGAGCGTAAAAACCACTGCCAAGGCTGGCAAGACAAATGTAGTGTTGTTTTTCGCCTTGTATAATTAGACATTTAGAGAGCACTAATGATTTAATTTGTTACTGATGTTTCACTTCAACATTTGCATGAACTCTTGGCCATTCAGTTGGACTTATTCACATACAACCATAGAACCATTTAGATTGGAAAAGACATTTAAGGTCATCAAGTCCAACCTCCAGCACTGCCAAGTCCATCACTAAACTGTGTCCATGAGCACTCCCCCTATACATCTTTTAAACATCTCCAGGACTGGCAAGTCGACCACTGCCCTGGGCAGCCTGCTCCCATGTTTGACAACTCTTTCCATAAAGAAATTTTTACTAATATGCCATCTAAATCCATCCCTGGTGCAACCTGAGGCCATTTCCCTTCATTCTATCTCTTGTTACTGGGACAAAGAGGCTGACCCCAACCTTGCTAAGCTCGCCTTTCAGCTAGTTGTAGGGGACAATGAGTTCTCCCCTGAGCCTTTTTTTCCCCCCGGATTAAACACCCTCAGCTCCCTCAGCTGCTCCTCATCAGATTGTGCTCCAAAGCCTCACCAGCTCTGTTGCCCTTCTCTGCAGCTCAACACCTCAATGTCTTTCTTGTAATGAGGAGCCCAGAACTGGACACAGCACACAAAGTGCAGCATCATCAAGTACAGGGGACAACACTGCCCTGGTCCTGCTGGCTACACTATTTCTGAAGCAAGCCAATACAAATCCTAATGGCATTACTGGTGAAAAAGAAATTGAAAATATTTTCCTGATCAGTAAGGTCCAGTCATTTCCTTCTATTCAAGCCCACAAACAGTATTTCATTTTTCCTCTGCCATTACCTTCAGGTCAATATTATTGAACACCTCAGTGAAATAAGAACCTCATTCTTTGAGAGCAATGCTAAACCTTCCAAGACTTAAAAGACCTACTTCAGTTAAGAGCAGGTAGGACCAAAGCAGGTAATCTGATTTTGCAATGCTGGTTATTAAACAGCACCATTGGCAGTAGCCTTTGGTCCACACCAGATGCATTTTAAAAGATTTCATTCTTTCACTTCTCTCTGACAATTAAGAAAAAACCTACTTCATACTGAAAATGAGAAGGCAGCTGTGTAGTTCACACCAAGCAGAACTGCTGATGGAAGGAAGGAAGGAGCCACATGCCTTAGAGAAGAACCAGCAGTCTGCAGACTGCACAGGTGCTACAGGGTGTCTCATGCACACCCAGAAGTCAGCCTCACTGGTCATTCTTTGTGTCAGAGAGGGCATCTTCAGTTCTTTGGGTTCTTGGCGCACTGGAGCCAATGTGAATTTTGCTATTGCCTTCAAGAAGACAAAGGAATTAATTCGCTGAAAGTAGCAGATTCCCACCAAGAACACAGACAATTTTCATAGGGGACAAGAGCCTCAGAAGTCAGATCCAAACCAGGAGTGATGGTGGAAGGTAACAAAAAGGCAAATAATAATTTCCTTAACAATGAATTTCAAGAGAACAAATTATATGGAAGAAGGTGATAACACATGAACTCCAGTAGCAAATTAAAGCTGGATATTTATTTATTATGGAATTTATTCCTTTAATATAATTTACTTGCGGGCAAGCATTAGGGAAGTAAACTTATTATAATTGTTCCTTAATTGCCAGTATCTCTCCAGGAGAGAAGTCATATTCAGCAATTCTTGCCAATCTAAAAAGTCCTTGCTCATCACTTATTTACCTCACCTCCATGACCAGTTCCGTACGTCAAATAAGAACTCAATGCATTTAACCTGAAACCTCAGTTCAGGTTAAAATACAAGGGATATCCAGGTGCTTGTCTGCATCTCAACTACTCTAGCCATTACACCCCAGAACGCCTACATTTCATCTTCTTCAATTTTCCAGGAACTCGTGGGAAAAAAAAAATATTAAGATCTCCTGAACAGTTTAAAAAGGATAGATGCAGAGAAAAAGCCTATTTACAGCAGTGGAAACAACTAATCAAACACTTGCTTTAAATGATGAATGCAAGGTCGCAGACCACTATATGCTGTGAAGTTCTATGAAATCAAATACATCATATCCAAAAATTAAATCAAATACATCATATCTTTTGGCTACATACATGACATGAGACAGAGTGGTTGCCATTTTCTACTAAAAACTACAAGAATGCCAAAAAATATGAACCTTCCATGCAAGCACTAAAGGCATCTGGTACCACTTTCTCTGTGAGCTGGAGGCCACGTGTGGGTTCAAAATCACAGCTTGAGCCCTCTGAAAGCAATGCCATTTTTCACACAGACTGATGGTTCTCTGACAAAGTCACTTGCTACAACAAGAGTTAAAACTACACATAGCTGGGAAGTGAAATTATATTGTCACTCAATGACACAATAAATTAAGTTTCAGTACCTATGAATTAATTGTGGATTATATGTTATAATCCTCATGCCTACCAGCTCTGTTAAGAGATTTGCCTTGGAAAAGACTTTCAGCTTAGTTCTACACAGGCTGGCCTGAAGCATAAATGCCACCTAAGAAAAGAATATGAACTAACATCACACAAGACTTGCCCTGATCTATACTGACCCTTAAACCACACTAAGCCATATATCAGCTAACTGAATTATTGGCAGCTGTGTTGAGGCACAGTTACATTTTATATGGTCTGCCTAGAGCTTCAGGTTCTTGTTTTCTTTACAGTGTATATATGTGATTATTATGTTCTGATGTTCACCTCTTACTGAGAAGATAGCTCTGAGTACAGCTTAGGTATTACCCTCCATCACCCAAGTTTGGAGAGAATAGACAAAGTATGAAATTAATTATTGGAATATTTTTCCAACCTCAAAACAGAACAAATAATATTGATTACATAATGTACTCCATCACAGAGAATTCAACAATACAATATTGTTAGAAGAAAGCTGGAAAAAGGAATCGTGTAAATTAAGGTGTTTAATACGGTTTTGTGCTCCACAGAATTCAGATATTACAGTAGTAGTAATTATTGAGCAGAGACTGCTTGTGCACCTCCAAGGCAAGTTATTATGAACAAATCCTTTGAGCTCATATGCCTTCCAAATTCATAGCTGCACAACTAGTCATTTCATTCCCCAATGTCTTACTGGCATGGACAAAAGCAACATCATCCAACATGTTCAAATCACGCTAATAAGTATATCAGATTTTTCAGCAGTGTATTCATTGGAACAGAGTAAGCCTCAGCATAACAAAACCTTTTAATCTTTCTCATTGGAAAATAGGACCAAACCCAAGATTTTTCTCAAGCCATGTTTATAACTTATCAATCAAGCTTCACTTTTCCTTCCAGTCCAACTGAAGACCCATAGCAAGTTTGCAGCATTTTGCCTCTTTGGCAGTTTAGATAAGGGATGTATGACTGCCCTCAGCACACCTAAGATAGGTGTGAACTGCTGAAGACCAAGTTGGAGCCCCAGAGCAGTCTAGCATGCCCTGTGCTTTACTGGGCTGCAAAGGAAATGGACCTCTCTGTTCAGCAGTGCTGATTACTTCTGCTTCCCCTGCAGCTTTTTTGCAACTCAATTTCTCTTTGAAAAACGCCTTCGCACTAACAGGAATAATGGGAAGCAGAGTCAGGGGCAGAAACAATAGCTCAAAAAACCTCCATTGTTGAAGGGTATTGGACAAGCCCAGGTTCTGCTGCCACCAACACCAGCAGAAAAACAACAAGCAGTGGCAACACTGTAGAGCAAGTGCCAGCAGGATGAGCTCACTGGCCTATGGCTCTATCCTTGACTGACTGACAAACACTTTGCACTCCAGCTTCACCAACTACAGGTGGACTGACACGGCACAGCCCATATTTAATGTGAACAGGGAGAAAATAAAATCTCTTAGGAAGGCCTCAAAGCATTAATCTTAATAAATATTTCCTTCATAACTCAATACAAAAGATTGTTAAGAGACTTTTAAAAATAAAAGTATTAAGTTCCAATATGAAACGGATTCATAAAAATACACCTTGCCCATCAACAAACATTTTACAAGCAATGAAGTCTTAGAAAGAATGTGATCTCTACCTTTACTTCTACCTACAGACAGGAAGGTGTGCATCCAGTTAAGAGGAGGAGCAAGAGAGGTGTCCACCACGGAGGAGGCAAAAGAGAAGAGAAGGAGGAAGCATAAAAAACGAGAAAAATACATCACTGGCCATACTTAGAAAAACAAGGAAACAAGTATATTAATCTAGCAGCCAAACCCAACAAAATAAAATGTCAAGGGGAAAACAAGAGACACACCACAACTAAAGCACAAAGCAAAGCTTAAACCACTGACAGTACAATCAGCAGCTGCCTGGTTAAGCTTTAATTTGATTTTCTACTGAGAAATGCAAACTGCTCATGCAATACCACGCCAGTGATACGCCTCAATCCACGTCAAATTCAAAACAGCAAAGGCAACAACAGACTAGGACAGGAAAAAATAAATCTCATGGTAATATATTTGCTAAACACATCTCACCTACCAGAGCTAATACATTTGTATATAATGTTGACATTGCATATTTATTCACACATATACATTTACATATTTTATATCCATCATATTTTTACAGACAGTAAATATTTATCAAAAGGTGATATCTGTGAGTTTGTTGGCAAGAAAAGAGAAGCCACTGTTCCCTGATGTGTTACAGATAAACAAGGGTGGCTGAAGTTGCCAGAAGCCAATAGTTTTCACATTTTTTGCCAGACAAGGGAGTATAGAAAGTGCTGATGACTGGCCTGAATAGGTCATGCAAGTCTTCATGAGCCAGCTGGGTTGCAACTTGTAATTTAAACGTCCAAGTGCAACTGTTTACATAATCCAGTGCTAAATCACAGACTACTACAAAGAAATGTTCAGTGTTTTTGAGAATGAAAGTGGCCATCAACTGTTCTGATCACTTTCCAACATGACTTCCTCTGCCAAAACAGCTTGCCATACTCAACTGCATGCTGAGCAACTAGGACATGCTGAAGCGACCTGTGTGCTGGATAATCCTTCAATAAGCACAGCCTCTGAGCCATGAGCCCAGCTGAACAGTAAGTGGGCACCCAGAAGGAGCTCACTGCTTTCTGGAGTTTAGTCAGATGCTCCACATGCCAAACACCATGGTCTTGACATACATCTATAAAGAGCCTGATTTTCCTACCACACAGGGATGTTATGCAGTGTAGAAACTGATAAGTAAGCCCCTACTTCACTTCTGGTTGTTACCTAACCTTTCATGACCTCAGAGCAGACATCCATCTTGAAGAATAGAATAAAAACTGATTATGTCTCAAGTCTTTCTACATTTCACTGAGATACATAGAAATTACATCTGTTTTATTCAAGCACCTAATTAATCTTTAGCGTACAGTGGCACTGTGCACTATCTTATTCCTTGGACTGTCTATCCTCAGATACATGCTTAATTAATGCCAAAAAGCTTTTGCATACATCTAGTCTAGGAAAGTCTCATCAGAGTCAAAACTTAGATTTTCTTCCCGTAGGGCAAATACTTGGTCTGGTCTTCCTAGTGTACCACTTGCACACACCTGGCTTTAAGTCTTAAGTCATTTCATTCCTGCATTCACAAGACTAGAAAGCACCAGGAGTGCTGCTAATTTCTGTGCACCCATGTCAGTAAGACACTGGCACTTGCAGAGGCAAACAGAACCACAATTCTCCTCACTTTACCTGTTCTCACCAGCTTCTTACTCACACCTTCACAGTGCAAAATAGGACTAATTATCCCATCCTATCACAGAGAATAGATCTGTATCTCTGTGCAGACTGAAATATTAAAATGTGATCTCTGATCTGGGCCTAGATCCCATTTGTAGCTCAGTATGGGGTTAGCCCTGTTGTTTTTCTCAACCATGTTGCTCTGTGTGCATTTGAGTATTTTAAATTGCAGACATAGGACTTACAGGCCATTATATGCAAATTTCCTCAGGATTCATAATGAGTTAGGATCATGCCACAAGGGTTATTAACATACTTTTTGTAATAATTGTTCTCTTAAAATAAAAACCAACATTAAGGTCTACATTTAGTAAGCAGTAGTGGGAGTCATTACAGCTGGCACAAGAAGAAAGAAATGGCAAGATAAAGTAGTTGGTGGGCTGCCTGGAAGAGGGATGCATACCTTTGTACTTTCCATGGAACCATTTCATGCTCCCTCCTGGGCCACTGAGTCCCAGGCTGACAAGAAGCCTTGGCTCATGGGACACAGAGGCAAAAATGCAAATGGCTTGACTGACACTCCGTAAGCTTAGCCGATTATGTTATGCAAAGCCCAGCCCAGAAATGCAGCAGGGACAAAGCCCCTTCATGATCAGTGACAGAAACAAAGAAAAAGTGGAAGGACTTACCTTGTTCACCCATCATCAGGTGTGAGAGGCCTGAGAGAGAGAGACAGAGAGAGGAAGTAAGAGAAAAAGAACAAAACTGGAAAAGAAGCAGTAATATCCAAGCACACTGGTCACAGTCCAAGACCTGTCAGGATTGGAGCTCACATACTTGAACAAGACCAAGTATGGTTGCAGCACACAGGACACAAACATTTGCAAGCACTGCTTCGCACACTTTGCAGGAAAGCATCTGTCACTGGTAGAAAACAACCTGCTGCTCACTGCAGAATTGTGTCTGAGGTTCAGCACATCCCTGGGGGGGTGGCTCCAGGGGCACTGCACACCACTGTAGCTGAATGGGCTATGGAAGCCAAGGTCTGCAATGACAGCCTGCAGCGAGCTGTTGTTCCTCTGGAGACATACAGAAATAACTTCTCCTCAGCTAAAGACTAAATTCAAGATTGCAGTGGTCAGTAAAAGGGAGGCCATAATCACACCACACCTGCTTCGAATGAATCCTCTGGTCTAAACGCATACACACACACAAAGCTATTATTATTGAACATGTGGCTTCATCATGAATTTTTAGGAGTCTATCAACACTGCTCACACTTACTAATTAGACACCAGTACACCAGACATAGCAAGGACTAAAAAACCCACCTGTAACCTATTAAAATACACCTCCACACCCTTTCTGGGAAAAACTGTCGATTCAGTTTCCAAGAGCAGTGGGCTACTTTATAGCTCTATAGCTAAAGCTACTCTTCAGTTTCATAATTAAAGGTAAAGCCAGAAGGCAGCACAGTTCCCCTCACCAGAGACAGTCATTGTCAGCTCTGCAGATGAGGCTGTTGTGTTTACTTGGGCTGCTCTACTCTCTGATAATTCTTTCTGGCACAAACCTTGTTTATTTCAATCAAATTCTACATCTAGGCCAATTTTCAAATAGGTTTACTGTATTGATACAAATACTCACTTTCTCTTTAGATATTTGTGTATATATATCCATGCCCAATACATTAAGCATGAAGTGACCCATTAATCAATTTAGTGACACAAGACATCACAGAACTAACATAACAAAAATCAAGTCCTACACACTCAAGCCATGAGGGACCCCTTTGATACTTGGTTCCCTGACCAACTTCCCTTAGCTTGATTCCTTCTCACATCTCCTACCTCTAATAGGCCTTCAAGGCACACACACACCACACACCCCATATTCTAAGTCAGTTTTTTAATCAAACAGGGCTGTGACTTTTTAATTTCACGGAGGCTGAGAGGTCAAATGAATTTATTAGAATGAGAATTTTCAACATGCAGCATGCTGAGTTTGAATTTGTTTATTCCTTTCTCTTTTATGGTTTTCATTTGCGTTGGCTGAAGAAATCTAAAATCCAGATCATCCTAAGAATATGTTCACCCACAGAGAACTTCAAGCCAGATAAGGGGATTAATAATTGTACAGTCTAAGGAATGCAAATACCGTAATGTTCTTGAAGATTATTGTGGATTTAGAAAAATAATCAGAAACATAACATAGGTTTAGATTCTTTTAGGTCTTTTAGCTATAAATAAACCTAGCAGATTTGATACTGTAGGACACTTCTGGTTTAAATTACAAAATATAATTCAGTGAATAACTTGCTCTGCTAAAAGAGTGGGTTGAATTTTTGCCTCTATTTATGGCTACTGACCCCATCATTCTTGACAGGCAAATCTTAGGTCTGATCAAATGGACACTTGAAAGTCACCGTAAAAGGCAGGAAGACAAAAGTATAATTGTTAGGACCTATAATGCACAGAATCCCTGTACCAATGCCAAAAAAAGTGAAAAGGCTAGAAGGTGTCAGTATGACATGCAGCAGAAGCTGGCTGAATAGGGAGGGGACATCAGATCCAAAGCGGAGATGGGGATCCTGAGGCCTTGTACACTGTGGGAAAGGAAAGTCACACCTAAGAGGCCCAGCATCAACAGGTACAGCTACTGGGGATGGCAGGGGTTTGCCCACTTGGACACAAAGATAAACCCCCAGAGAAGGTTCAAAGCAAGATTCTACATTAAACACCATAAACCACACCAGAAAAAGATCCATTCTCTCTCCACCAGCCACAGAGGAGCTTTAAAAATCTCAAAAGGTCAGGAAAGTCAACGAACCCCGTTTTGTCCTTATCCCCAGGGCCAGTGCCATGTGCCCTATCTACCAGGCACATCAGCCAGATGCATCCCCACAAGCCCTTCGCCTGAGCTGAGGAGTGAGCACACCCCCAAAGAAACGTAATGTTGTGGCCCCTGATTTGGCCTTGGTTCAAATACCTGTCAAAGAAAGTATCCCTAAGAAATATTCTGGCACTTTCTGCTTCTTCACAGATTTGAAACACCACAGCAATCGTGGTACTGGTAATGTATGTGCCTCGATCTTCTAGTCCCAACTTGACAATGAAAGCAGGGAGATTAATGAAAAATAATGCCCTCCCCCCCCCTCAATGCTATTTTTCCTTTTTTAAAATAGAAAGAAAAAGGAGGGTGGACTTGGAGACAGCACAAAAAAACAGTATTGTATTAGAAGTTGCCCATAAACAGAGACCCTTATTTTAACAAAGAGAACACCAATAGAATTCCAGATTCATTATTAGATAAAATAATAACATAAATAATGAAATAAAATATCAGCTTTTCTCATCAGAAAATATTCCTGCCTTGCATTTTAAAGTAAGAGTAAAAATGAGTGTATTTATCTCCAAGAAAATGTCATTAACAACTAAAACCTTCAACCATTGAGATATAAAATTCGTGACATTTGCAACGCGTGTAACAAAGGCCTCAAATCAGTCAGAGTAAAATCAACGTGGAAAATGTGAACTGAAATAGTTGTCTCACCTTTACATCAGTTTCAAGACATGGCAAGATACTAAAACAATTATCAAATCATAAAAGTCAAAACCACCTTGAGGTGGAAAGCGGTAACACTTGCTATTGGACTGTAAGAAACTATTATGGCATCCAAAAAACCAATGCAAGAGCTGGACAAATTGTTCAGACCTGCAAGCTAGACCAGATTCTTCCAGATCAACGGGGACACATATCACCATGCTATTTGGGCAGCAGTCATAAGACAAGCAAATTTTTTAGCAGACTCAGGATACAAATGAACTCATTAGGCCCCAAAGCACATTATTCAATATTCTACTATTAGAATGTTTGTGCTAATAGCCATCCCATTTAAGAAGAATCCTGTAAGAAAATCTGATTTTCCACCTAAACCCAGGTGAAACATATGTTCCTTTGAATCCTGGATTTTTTTCAACAAGCAACTTTGATTATAGCTTCAGCTATAAGGAAACCCAACCAGTGCAGAGCTAGGAAAAGGCTGATAAAAATCTGCATGAGCTCCAGTAGCCAAGGGGTTTCATGCTTTTTCTAAACCAATCTAGTCATCCTTATAGTAATTTACTGGCTGGACAGAACTGCTGCCCAACAAAAATGTTGTGTAGCAAGTAGTCTGGAAAAGGTTTAGGAAAACCTCAGAATAAATGGCTCATCTGCCTGTAAAGAAATTTTATATCCAAGTCAAGAATACGGTGACTTTCTATTCCTGAACTTCAAACATGAGTGACTGTAAGGACAAGTGCATGGCTTCAGAAGGAAACTCTCGACAGGTTTTTTAGATAAACATCTGCTTGTAGTCAGTCTCTTGAGGCCCAGCTTCTTTGAACATTCAGCAGTAATGTGAAGAGAAAGCAGTCTGTTTCTTCAGAACATCAGCTCATTATTAAAATAATATGTCCATTGCTGAGGGCAGACAGACCCAAACTCTGCTCTCTGGCCATGATTTATGCCTGCCACAACTGACTTTTCCTATTTAGGTCTGGGAGGGTTTTTTTTTTTTAATATTTCTTTAACCTACTATCCAATCAGTATTATTTTCTTAAAGTTTAAAATTAAGCTGTCTTGATCTCAAAGAAACATTTCAAACTACTTAAAAAAAAAAAAAATTGTAAACCATCTGCTTTCTACACCAAAATAGTAAAATTAAGTGGCTCTAATTGTACAAAGTACCAAGGGCTAACACTGGATTCTTATGAAGCCAGAAGGACATTTTTAAAAGTAGCTTCAGAGTACAGTGATATGAAAGAGCAATATAGTTAAACAGCAGTCCTCATCTTTAAGGGTTTGCTAGGGGCAATTTTCAGTGTGGAGGAGAAAATATGGGAAATGTTGGAAACAGTTTGAATCCTGCTCCCTCCCGCCCCATTACTACTTAGCACTTAAATTGGAAAATAAAGCTACAAAACATAAGGTGAGGATAGCACAAAACACAGCTGAGAGTGACAAGCCATTGCAGCAACAAAGGAAGATAGACTCATTCATCCAGTTAATTATAGCTTGTCCTGTGCTACTGGGCCCATGATCTGGGGGTGTGCACGTGTGCGTGGGTGTGCACGCACGGCTGAATTGCTCTGTTATGGCAGGCAGCCTCAGTATTTCCCTTGTAATGATGCTACCAAATGATTAGCCCAAAAGCTCTTAATGAGTGGGAGAAGAGACTGCCAGGCAGCAGCAGCAACCCAGATCTCCCCTGGGGCAAGTTTGCCCAGAGAGGATCTTTTTTCAGGATATCAGGCTGCATGACCCATTCAGACAATAGCAGGGCCAGCTGCAATGTATGTCTGAGACAGGACACCAAACCCTCCAGTCCAGGATATGCACAAAATCCTTTATGGCAAATCTGAAGAAAGAAATCATGCAAACCACGGACTCTTCCAGAAATAAAATTACATCCACTATACAGAAGAGCACGCAGATGAGTACTGGGGTCTGTTGTTTTCACCTCCTTTCCAAATACCCTAAAACTAGCAGTTCCTTAAGAAATAGGCTTTTCTCTACTCTGAGCCTCATACCCCAGCTCTATTGGCAGTTCCCTTTTCTGTTAGTGAAGAGAGTTGACAAGATCTTTGTCTTCCATGTGGTCTTCACAAAATAGGTATCTTGAGCTTCTCAAAAATCAAAAGTCCAAGGAAAATTCCGTAAGAACCCACAGGTACCA